TGGCTAACCTCTGGCTAACCAGGCAGCAGCCTGGCCAAGCCAGAGACAGGAGCCACAAGGAGGACAGAGCAGGGTAGAAAAAAAAATCTTCAGGGTGTTGGCATTTAGCCCTGTAAGATGGATGTTCTGAGAAGTGTGACAATGCAGGATGTGTGCAGTCACAAGAACTAAGAACCACAGATCCTGTTTGAAGCATTCATCAAAGGCTTGGCTTGAATGAGATGGGGAAGGTTTCTTCAAGGCATCTATTTAGAAGAGGTTCTCTGTTAAGTTGCCTGAATTGGCATGTGACTGCAGGGTAAAGCAAGACTGATGTGCTTGAGACAACCAAGAGAAATCTGTCTTGCTGCCAGAGGCTGGAGCTACAGCCCTGGGAAGCTGGAGAGGGTCACATCACCTGCCAAGCTGTGTCCTTCCTGGGACTCCACCCCCCACAGTTAACTGTTTTGACCAAGACAAAGAATGTCAGGTGTGCAGGGAAATGCAAAAGGGGACCACATTCTGAGGGGAAAAAAGAATCAATCACCATGAATTCCAAGGGTTGAGGAGGCCGTGAGTGTGGAAGGCCTAGAATCATGAGGGAAGCTTTGCATTTCCCTATGTATCCAATCTGCTAGCACCTAAGAAGATTTTACATGGCTCTTCTAAGATAAAAAGGAAACTATGAGATGCAAACTATATATGCTGCCAAAGTTCTCAACATCCAAATAACACCCTCTATCTGAAAACTCGAACAGCAGAAGTATATGACCAAGTCACCATCACTGTGTGTTTAGCAGATCAAATCATGGGGCTCAAGTCAGGTGCTGGTGGCTCACTCCTGCATTCTTAGCCACTCTGGAGGCTGAAATCTGAGGACTGTGGTTTGAACACAGCTTGGAGAGACAAATCCAGAGACTTTTATCTCCAATTCACCACCAAAAGTCTGGAAGTAGAGGTATGGCTCATGTGGTATAACACACACACACACACACACACACACACACACACACACACACACAACCTGGACAGCTGTTCTCTTTGACACTTCTTTTTTGCCCTCTCTTGTCTGCTTCTTCTCTGCTTTGTAGATCCTTTGTATAGATATTCTTTTTGTGGATCTATAGGAGAGGCCAATCCTAGATCAGTCTTGGCAGTTTTCTCTCCTCTTTCAAGCTCTGAATTCTTTTTTTTGGGGGGGGGGCATTCAGTCGTGGGGCCTGAACTCTGGGCCTGGGCGCTGTCCCTCAGCTCTTCAGCTCAAGGCTAGCGCTCTACCACTTGAGCCACAGCGCCACTTCCGGCTTTTTTCTTTTTGCTTATGTGGTTCTGAGGAATCGAACGCAGGGCCTCATGCATGCAAGGCAAGCGCTCTACCACTGAGCCACCTTCCCAGCCCTCAAGCTCTGAATTCTTATAGCACCCAAATAGTAGCGACTCCCAATTTTATAACTTCATCTCTACTTGGTATTTCCAGTTAGATGCCTATGGGAAATTCCACATGGAACATAACTTCTCTCTGTATATTTCACTTTCAGCCCCCTCATTTGTAAATAATATCCCACTCACCCAGGTGTTCCAACCAAATAAATGCCTAAATATCTACCTACCTACCTACCTACCTACCTATCTGTTGTGCTGGTACAGGGACTCAGACTCAGGATCTCATACTCTTGCTCAGTTTACATGCTTACTTAGCTACACCTCCAGCCCAAATTTTTTATAGTTATTTTGGTGATGGAGTCTCTGGGACTTTTCTTCCCTGGCTGGCTTCAAGTCCTGGTTCCTGAGTAGCTAGGATTACAAGTGTGAGCCTCCATCTCTTCCTTCTCACTGAAGCAGGATAGATCAGGGGAAATGAAGCATGGGACATAGTAGCCAGGAATTCAGAGACAAATATTGTATTAATGAAGAGCTTCATTTAAATCGCAGAAGCACTACTTCTGTCTTAAGCCTTGCATTCTTTCATAAGCTGTAACCTTTAGTAAAAACAATTAGAGTTTCTCTTTCTCTCTGACCTTGCCTGGGTGTCCAGCTGATTACTGACACTTTATTCTAGAAAAACAACTCCTTCAGACAAAAATAGTTTTTGCTGAGAGAAATATTTACCTCAGGGATGAATACCTGTCTTAAAAAGCTGTGATAGAATTAATCTTTTCCCTGCCACCAACTCAAGTTAGTAAGAAAATCCCAACTAATCAGTGACTCAAGCTTATCAGGCCAACCTTGATCTCCAAGTCCAGCTGCTAAAACAGAGTAAGGATGAGGAAATGCACCAGGTTCTAAGACAAAGGAAAGCACTTATGCTAAGGTAAATGAGAGCAAAACCTCTAGTAGGTTCACTTTTTCACCACAAATGCCTGTGGTATCAGAGCATTCATTACACCCAGGTTTAGACTGTGTACTATTTTTCTTTCATTTTGTTTGACTAATACACTTTCTTTTCCCCCTTCTTAGGAGCCTCCTATCTGGAGTATCAGAGACCACCATACCTGGTAACAATTACACTTAAAACACCAAATACCTTTGAAGTTTGACGATCACACTGCTTTTAAAATGTGGCGGAACCTTTTCACTTCATTCTGCTTCCACCATTACTCTAGGCAGGTCACCATGCTAACCTTTATAATGGCTTTACCTCCTCAGCAAGACCTTTCAACTTAGGCTCAAGTAGCTTTTCTTCCAGAACCAAGTGCCATTTTACATCATCACTGTAATTTATTACTACTTTTTAATTTTTTCATATTTTATGTCTATTATGTTCCCTCCCTCCAAAGTAGGTGTGCCCTAAGGATAAACTGTCATCCATTTTCTTCTTGGGGTACCCAAGGTTCTGATAGAGTGCCTACACAGGTTTGAAGCACTGCACTGTTCAGACTAGTTCTCATAACTCAAGATCACAAGACAGAAGAAATCCCCTCACATACTGTCTAGGCCTTCTCAGGAACTGAAGGATGAGGATAAAGGTAGTTACTAGGAGGCAATGCAAGATGCAAGCTTGTCTTCAGGATAGAGCAGCACTCAAGGTCAAGTTCAATGTTCTCTGGCCTTGTTGTCTTTGAGGACACTGATTCACACATGCACTCAATGCGTTTTAGAAATAGGAATGTCAAGCTTGGTGTAATCTTAGGGAGGCAGATTGTGTTTCCAGCACTGTCTGAGTAAAATAGTTTGTAAGACCATATCTCAACTAATTAAAACCTGGTATGTCTGTTATTCCAGCTACATGGGAAAGTGTTAAAGAAGAGATTCTATGTCCAAGACAACCTGGGCATAAATGGGATACCCTATTTTTTCAAAAGCAACAAGGGCTGGAGGTGTGGAAAAGTGGTAGAACACTGGCCTAGCAAGCTCCAGGCCCTGGGTTCATTCTCCAGGGCCACTGAAAAATAAAGAAGTGAATAAATAAGAGACAAGGATGGAATGTCACCCTGGGGTAGGACTTAAAAACATAGGTTCTGGAATTACTGTCTTACCATGGGGTCTTAGACAATGATCTTAATGTTAACATGCCTTGGTTCCTTCGGAGTGGACATAAGTACTTACCCTAAGGACCATAGAGAGGATAATAATATATAAAGTACCCTGAATGAGTCTCGCTCAGTAATTACCGTTCATCTTTCTTCTTAGAAAAACCATGCAGGGAATAGCAGCTGCAGAAATGTTTACCAGTCAGTGAATTCTCTTAGTGTCCTAAATATCTGCATTCTGCTAGCTCACCTGGTACCAGAGGAAAAGAAAACCACATCCTGAAACACAGAGAGCCAACATGACTGAAAAAAACTAAATACAACCTTCTTGATCTGACAGTGAAATCTACAGCCTTTAAAATAATCTCCTAACAGAGGAAATAATGATTTAGGATAATTGTAGCTGAAATGACTTTTTCTAGTTAAAACTATTCATGTTTAAGCTTTAGAGCAAGGCTAGATGGCATGTTTGTATAGAACATATTCACCATGGAATTTGGTATTGATGGTCTCTAAGAGAATGTAATTAATAATTCAATTTGGTTGGGGGAGAAACTGTCCCAGGACTTTCTCAATAAAGGTAGACTCAATAAAGCCATGTAGTGGGCTGGGAAGGTGGCTCAGTGGTAGAGCGCTTGCCTTGCAAGCCTGAGGCCTTGGGTTCGATTCCTCAGCACCACATAAGCAAAAAGAAAAAAGCCGGAAGTGGTGCTTTGGCTCAAGTGGTAGAGCGCTAGCCTTGAGCTGAAGAGCTGAGGGACAGTGCTCAGGCCCAGATCAGGCCCCACGACCGGACCAAAAAAAAATAAATAAATAAAGTCATGTAGTACTAACAGCTAGAAAATAATTTTCATGAAAGTAGGAGCTATAATTAAAATAGCGGCCCTTAAGATTCATCAAATCAAATCAAGTTACAGTATGTCATGATATTGTACTGATATTGATCAGAAATGTACAATTCCTGCAGAGGACTGGCTTGTTCAAGGGAACAATTTGGAACTGTTGATAACAATGAAGAGATATTGTACAGAGATCAAGTACAATTCTAGGACAACCAAGTATCTTCTCCTGACTGGCCTCAGCACTTGCACTTCCTGGATTAGGGGAGTTCATAGTAACTAGTACACCCTAACCCAGCCATCAGAGAAATGTGCAGGTCATACAAATCATTGCTTCAGAGTAGTAACTTTCAAGGAAGTGTTATATATCCCCTGAATTATGCCATAAAGATGAAAAGATAAAAAAACTACATTTTCTCAATTTTATTAGAGGAGGGAGAACCTCAAAACAAAACTCAAGAAACCTCGGATTCTCAAACTAATCCAAGTGAGATATCCAACGAATATGAGAGAAGTCTACACAGCCCCCGGGAAACTCTGGAGGATGTTCCCTGTGAATAGAAATAACATTTACACACACAACGAAGGCATGTTTGAAACCTTTTATTAAACAGGCAATGCATTGTGCAATGGGTTAAGGACACAGATGCCTAGTGGAAAAAGTTTAAAAATTATTTTTGGAAACAGTCTGTGAATTGATAAACCCTGCTGTGTTCCTTCCTCTCCTCCAAGCAGCTATCTACAGGAAATCCGATTGCTTTATGGCTGCTCTTAGGAACAGCATCTCTGTTTTACCATACATGTCATGCCTAGTAGTAAACACAAAAAGATGACGGGGTCCACGGGCAAGACAGTGGCCAGAGACCCAGGCTCATTGCAAGTGGCAGCGCAGATACTGGCTTGTTCTGGTCTTCCAAGGGCGTCCAATTTATGCATTCCTGCTTCCGTTCCATGTCTGCCCTGTCCAAGGACTCTTTGCCAAGGGACTTCTAAAAGGCTCACTTTCATACCTACCCATTCCTGACTTTTTCAATGCTGTTCTTGTCTGAGGCCCCTCCAGCCCAGGGTTATGGCTATGTGATTGTTCTCATTATTTTGCTTGGATCTTTCCTCTTCCCAAGTTCTTAGTACCTTGGTGATAAAATCAATCTGAAGTTTCACAGTCTGTCTGCCATGATTTATTGGCAGTTTTAAACTAAGTGGTCTGTCAACACAGTGGACCTTCTTCACAAGCACACCTGCCAATCTATTTTATGATTTGAGGCATGTCACTCCAAGCTTGAGATTTCTTTCTGGCAAGTTCCATCCAGGATGGCTGGTCTGCACTGGCATAACTGGCTCTCTTTAGCTGATGCAACTCCTTCTCCGTCATCGCTGCAGCCTGAGCTGCTAGAAGGGAGACAGAGCAAACAGAAAGATGAGGCAGGAGTATGGGTTTTCATTTAATCCCTTCCCATTTCTTTAAACATGTGTCAAGGTCTTGACTGTGTTCCCTAAAATATGTCAATATGCAAATGTCTAAGGAAGATTTTTGGCATAGAATATGCAACTGATGTGATTTTAAAAAGGCTTAAGAGCAGTTTTAAACAGTTTTGGCAATGTAGGTAAGCAAGGGACATTCAGAACTCAACCGGCAGGAACGTGGGTGCAGGTGGTAGGTTGCACAACGCATGAATACACTTAACTCTTACTCCACGGTCCATCTAAAAATGGTTAGGAAGGTAAATTTCTTGTTTTGTGTCTTTTACCACAGTGAAAAGTAAATAAGATGAAAGGGGTCTTGGGGATAAAGTGGAGCTTAGTGATAGAACCTATACTTAGCAAGACCTGGGTTTGATCCCCAGCCCTACTAAAAAGCTACTGCTATGAATCCCAGAAGTGCTATGCCAGTGTAGGAGCTAGATACAAGAGGATACACATTTACGATTCCATTTATAGAAAATGTTCCAAAAAGGCAAATCTTATGGAGACAGAGAGTCAGTCGATTAGTGTTTACCTAGAGCTTGGTGTGGGAACATGCAAGTAGGCATAAGGTTTCTCTTCAGTGTGAGGAAAATGCTCCACACTTAAGAGTCCCACAAGGGTGGATCAACTCTGCAGATTCATATCCACTGTAAAGACATACTGAATGGTGCTTTATGGTTATGTAAATTATAGCTCAATATAAACTGTGTGAAAAACTCAATGTGGCAAGTAATTCAGCAAAACAAATCCGAACCACAGGGAGAATCCAGGTCAATGATTTCAGTGTATTTAATACATGCTGATGTCATACCCAAGTTCTGATGTGACAGTGAGATTCCTCTTTGCAGCCCCTCCTTGAGACTGAGCTTTGCCCCCTGCCTTTGGGTCACGGCGGGCTTAGCTGGGGTCATCAGGAAAGACTTGCTGCGGACAAAATCAGCCTGCTTCACGGGCTCCTATGATACAAGAAAGACACACACTGTCCAGCCACATACGCAGAGAGGAGCAAACACATCCAAATCGAATGAGCCACAAAGTATCTGTCCAAAATAAGTCATGCTGCTGCCATGATCTGAGGGGCGCTCTAGTGTGTCAACTCACTGAGGCATAGCATAGTACCGGAGTTCAGACCAGGCTAATCCTGGCCAGCACACGCATTGTGGCTTCTTCTGTGTCCCTACATGCCCGTTTCCAGGTGTTGTATGTGAGGGATTCCATGGGGAAGTAAAAATGGATTTAGTTTAAAAATAACTTGTGAGTTGTTTTTTGAGCCAGTACTGGGGCTTGATCTCTGGGTCTGGTGCTGTCCCTGAGCTTTTATGCTCAAGGTTGATGCTCTAATTTGAGCCAGAGCTCCATTTCTGTTTTTGGGGTGTGTAGTTTATTGGAGATAAGAGTCTCATGGACCTTTCTACCGGGGCTGGCTTTGAACCCTGATCCTCAGCCTCCTGAGTATAGCTAGGATTACAGGTGTGAGCCTCTGGGATACAAGGCAGTTTTGTGACTTTTATGACATGTGCTGTAAGTTGGTTGACATTTCCTTTCTAAAGTCCCTCTGAGGTCTGGACGTAGGTGCTACTGCAGGTTCAGGCTACCTTTACCAGAGATTTATCATGGTGGCTTCTGGAGCACACAAAGCCTCTGAGTCTTGGTCTGTACCTAAGCACGGTTGTTTGGGTTGGTGAAAGCTGTTTTCAGACCAGAGTGCCAAATGGAACTCCAGGTTCAGGCCTTGCAGCCCCTGGTAAGGAATAAAGAGACCTGGTGGGCAGCTGGTGTATCAGCATGAGCGGGATCGCTCATTGCTGCACAATGAGACGGAGCTGCTGACAGTGTCACTGGGTGTCTAAGCAAGAAGTTATTTTAGCCTCCTTCCATGTTTCCAGATGCCGAGCTGCGTTGCCTAGGAGGCAGGGAACAGTGAGCTGCCTCCACTGTCTGAGTGATGCGTGTGCTCCTCTGCATGCCTAACAGCCCAGCAGATGCCGAATGGGCAGACTGCTCCAGCATGGAGGCTGCCCCCTGGCACATCACAGACCCCCAACCACACACCAGCAATCAGCACAGGTGACAGACATTATGGTGCCCATGAGGACCTGCAGTGATCATGAAGGTCCTCACTTCACCCCAATCCTGGCCACCTGCCCCTTCCAGAATCCATGGAAAAAAGCACCTGGGCTTTCTCTGGTGGCTTGGCTTGCTTTCCTGTCTCTGGCTTTGTGATCTGCACTCCAGGCTTGTCTTCCTGGTGGGGGGGCTGGTCTGGAGCACCCCGCCGCTTCTGCCGGGCCATGGTGATCCAGGGTGGGTTGGGCTGTCCATCCACTGTAGAACCTGTTACTGCAGAAGGCAGACCCTTTTCTGTGGGCAGAAACACAAGATTATGCAATACAGTCCTGCTCTGTCCTCTTCAATTTCACCTCTGACCTTGTGTTGCTCTGGCTCCAAGTGGCTGGGGCAGGGGAGGAGAGCTATCTGGGAGCTCTCTGGTCAAACTATTATGTATGTTTTTAATGGGACTTTATTTCTAAAGGTGCATCAAAGAGATTATGGTCCTCTGGCCTGAGCCACAAAATATTAAATACAACTACTCCTCTAAGGTCAATGAACATTTTAAAGTCAACTTCCTCTTGGAAATCTTCCTGGAAGGAGATAAAAATGCAAACATAGATAAGATTTCTTTAATAGAATTCTTGTTTGAGATCAGTACACACTGCCTGGTTCTCAGAAGCTATAGACACACTATTGTCTCTATCTTAACAACTGCAAGCATAACTTTTCCTTTGCGGAAAAATGGCTCAATTTTACAAGGTCATTTCATGTTTTGCTCCTTGTCGGAATATTTCTTGGCATGGAAGGGGTGCCAGATGGCTGTGTGTTTAACGTAAGCTGTATTTCACATCTTCCACTCTCAATGAGAGTTTCAGCATTCTCATAGCCTCACTTGGAGTTCATTCCCTCCCCCCACACCCAGTACCAGGATTTGAACCCAAGGCCTTGTACATGCTCAACTTGTTTTCTGGGCTGGTACTCTTATCACTTTGCCACATTTCTAGCCTGAAATTTTTGCTGGTTATTTTGAAGATGGGCCCTCACAAGCTCTTCTGCTGGGGCTGGTCTCAAACTATGTATGATCCTTCACAGCTCAGTCTCATGAGTAGCCAGGATCACAGGCAAGAGCCACTGGTGGCCAGTCCTTTGTTATTTCTCCTCTTATCATCCCCTCCTTGTGTGTGCAGACAAGGCTGGCTACCTTACTATGTTTGCATACTGAAGATAGGAATTTCAAGGTCACAAGATGTGGTTCTGGAAAGTTCTTTATACCATATATTTGGGTCGTTCTATTTAAGCTAAAAGAAATATTTGTAGTGCTGGTCCTTGAACTCAGAGTCTTGCACTTTCTTACTTGGTGCTCTACAACTTGAGCCACATCTCCAGTCCTATATTTTGCTGGTTATTTTGAGATAAGATCTCATAAACTTTTCTGCTTGGGCTGGCCTCAGACAGTGATTCACCCCCACTCAACCTCCCAAGTAGCTAGGTTTGTAGGCAGGAGCCAATGGCATCAGCTTCTAAAAGAAATAGTTCAATAGTAGAGAAGGTTATATGGATGGCATAGCCAGCATGCATTAAGACTGCAGTGGGAGGAGGCCCTAAGGAGAAGCTGAGGATCCAAGGCTGGACCAGGGAAGGGCCCCAGTGGACCAGGTAGCAGGCTGACATCTCATGGGGACTGATGCAGCTCATCTTCCCCCTCCTAGTTTCTCATGGGAATTACAGTCTTTCCACACAACATTGGAAAGGCTATGTTAGGAAAGAGGTAAAGATGTTCCCCCTTGTATCAAGAGACTATTCCAGGCACCAGTTGTGCTGTCTGTCTTTGGTAGCAATGCTTTCAGTTAAACTGTGTGTGGAACATCTAGGTATGCATACAGACCTATAGGTGTAATTAAGCTCTGTAGCTATATCACACAGAGGCAGTGTTACTTAGTACAGGGTCAGACATATGACCAAGATCTCATGCCAGTCGTTTTATTTCCCTTTGGCTCATGTTTTGCCCTACAAAGTGTTGGACATCCTCTGTTCTGTGCTTTCTTCTTTTCAACCTTCTTCCCTATTAGCAATGTGAATGGGTTAGAGGGACTCACCCAGATTCTCTTCTAACCCTTTAGCAAAGACTGTCCAGGACCAACCAGTATCCTGGGCAGAAGAAGCTGGAGCAAGGTATGAGGGTGAAGACAACCAAGAGGGAAGGAGAAAACCCACAGCAACCTAGTTTGGTTCACAGAGGCCTGAAATTCCACCTGTGGTCTGTCAACATGTGAGCTTAGAAAGGAGTGATAGGCTGGACATTTCCTACCATGTGACATCTCAGAGAAGTTGCACCCTTGTCGTGGATAAGCATGGCACAGTGTTCTGTGGCACTGGCAGGGGAGGCCCCTCTGATCTGCACCTACTCGGCACCCACTGTACACTTGGCACCCACACTGGGAACTGGGCTGTGGAGTCTGAGCTAAACTTAATCTGGGTAGGGCAAGAGAAGGGATGGAAACACAGGAAATGTGTAGGATAAAGCAGCCTTCAAGAATTTCAGGATCAATTGCTTCTGAAATTAAATGTGCTTAAGATGTTATTAATCCCAGGATAATGTAAATGTGGGTTCATTTCAAATGAAATGAACACATTCCTTTGTTTTTCTCAATATGCAGACAACCTTAAACTCTTGGGGCTATGGCTAAAGGCCTCTGACATCTCAATTTCTCCTTTCTAAATGTCAAGGAATTTAGGCTGTCAGTATGCCTGGCATTTGCAACCAACAGCCTGTGAGCACATCACAGATGGGGACTATGTCAGTATTTGTGTGCAGGTCTGGAAGAGACTAGATTCTTATAGAAGGCAATCTGCCCAGCTGTAGAACAAAGGTGGGTAGACTCTTGCTGAAGGCATTCACTCTAGGTGCTGGAGTGCCCAGAAAGCTCATGGCAAACAGTTTAACTTCACAGGAAAAAAAAAACTAAAAAGAAAATTTTGAGGTTGTTTAAGAGAAGATTCTCTAAGTTATTGTTTGTCCTTCAAATTTCTTCCTTCTCCTTACACACTCTAGAGCCTTAAGGATTTATTTTGATAAGGTATAATGTATAAGCAACAACTTTAGAGAGAGCCTGTCCTCTGGGCTGAGTTCAGTAGGCGGTGGTAATGAGGAATATCTCCTCCCTGGGGCTGTGCAGCAGAGCAGTTAATAACTTGCCCTGGGGCTACTAGGGCCAGGTTTAAGGTCTTTGGCTAGCAGCTGACTTGTAGACAAATTTTTAGACCTTCTGGAAGACTCAATTTTAATGTAAAATGAGGAAAACAGCACACCTCCAAGGTGTGGTGATACATTCCTCTAATCCCAGCATTCAGGACACTGAGGTAGGTTCTTGAATTCAAGGCTAGCCTAATGCTACATAGTAAGAATGTGTCAAAACAACAACAACAAAAAACAAGAGCTGGGACTATAGCTCAGTGGTAGAGTCTGGCTCAAGGTTCTGGGTTCAATTCTGAGAACAACAATGCAAATATTCCATGAGACAACATGCCACCTGCACAGGGCCTGCCCTGTGTGTGCTTTAGAACATGAGTTGCTGGCACAACCACTGCTGTCTATTTTCTTGTCGCTCATGTTATTTTAACTGCTTGAGGAAGGATGCAGATTTGGGCCAAGTCTCCCTCCAGACCTCATAGACCAGTGTGCCTTTGAACAGGAAATGAATCCTAATTCCCTTCTCTTGGTAAGAAACTATATAGGGAGTGCTGAGTAATGATGCGGTCTCTTGCTAGGGCAGACAGCAAGCTCTCTAGTTCCTGAAGTTAGTAATCATAGCAGTTCTTTAAGACCGTGCTTGTGTGCCGTTAACATGGCAGGTGGTGGGGGTACAAGGTATGAGGACCATCAGGGTGTGAAGAAGGCTTCTCTGCCCTACTACCCTGCAGGGCCATGGAGAAGCCTGGTACATGACACACCATTGCACCATGGAGTCATGTCACCCAGCTCAGCTCTCTGTCCCCATGAATAGCACTGTGTGTTATGGAAACCCTGGTAGGGTTGGGTGTAGTAACATATTGCCAAGGATGGTAGCCCTAGTTTCATCCATTGTCCCTGAGCCATGCCCGTTTATCACTCTTTCATACACATACCTGACAAGAGTCAGAATACCCTACAGAGGAGAACCACAGTTTCCAGATAGATTATTTGGCATTATAACTGGTCTATCTGTATTCAGGATGACTTATAACTATGCAAAAAAAATCTCCAACATGGCACAATTTCTAGAAAGACCACTTTATCAGACAGAGATATTTCATCACTTCATTTTAATTCACTGATTAGTAGTGATTATTTTTCTCCTTTCCTGTCTTTGTGGTACCTATTATGATCAGCCTCTGTTTCATTGTTTACCCAGCTGTAGGGCCTGGGTGAATAATACCCCATCTGACACCTGGGGTGTGAGTCTGGAAGCTGGGAACTGTCAAGAGCACAGTCTTCTGAGGGAGAGGCCATGAAGTCTAGGGTATAAACACCAATGGCTGCCTGCTCTGTTGGACAAAAGCAGAGGTAATACATAGGAGTATCTTTTGCATCTTGACCACAGGGTGTATGCTGTCTTCTTTGAAGTAGCATTTCTTTTCAGAAAAAAATTAATCCTTTATCCTACCCATTAGAACTTGCTTATCCTCACGGCCTGGCTTCATTTTTGTGCATGTGTGCTCATGTTTGTGTTCCTTAGCCTGGCACTGTGGTGCAGGGTAGGTTCAGGCCACTGCAGGACAAAATGATGCCAAAAAGACGTACTTCTGAAGAAACAGTCCTGGAGAAATTCAACATTTTCTAAATCTGAAGTGGAGAGATCTGGGTCTGGGCAGTACCACATGGTGGATGGTAGGATCTGGCATCTTGTCTTCTTGGTGGGGGAGGGTGAGGCCCCCACCTCCCAGGTAAGAGGCTTTCCTGACTCCCTGGAGGCAGGGGCAGGGACCTGGATGATAGGTTACTAAACTTGTTGGTCTAGTACCTAAGACTGACTGGTTTCCTGTGATTCTGCCCCCTGTCCAGACCCTATTTAGGCCCAGACCAGCTCAGGCACCATTATGCCATGCCACGAGTCTCCATGTTTGTGTCCTGTCTCCTGTTTCCTGGCTTTTCTCTGGTCACTGTGGCATCCCGCTTCAGCCCTCCATTGGAGCTGAGTTGGTTTGTTGGTATTGTTTTTGTTCTTTCTTTCCTCTCCAGCCAGCGGAGCTCAGTTTCCTAAGTGTTAAATGTATTTGCTGGCTGCTTGTCTTTGAGGCAGGAGGCAACCATGCAGTCATCAGCCTTTTAA